ATACTAACTTTGTGCCAGGTACTAGGCTGAGCCTGTATCCGTCTCCCACCCCTCCTGGAACTCCCTGGGGTCTGGGGCCTCTCGGCCTCTGCTTTTGCTAGGTGCCCAAGGCCAGATGAGTCTTAGTGCTTGTCAAGCATGTGGTTCCCTGGGCCTCTTCCACATGCTGTGACGGAGGCTATGTTGGTAACGGCCCAGGTCCTCAGCTTGACGCGTTTCCTCATCTGCTTGGACTCAGACCGCCTCAGGAAGGGTAGTGGATGAAAGCTTTCCCTCCGGTTGTGCTGTGTAGGGAGTGCAGTGGTTGGTGGTCTCCTGTAATGACTTCTTGCCTGGTGTCTGTGGGATGAAGTGGAGGCATTTTAAGTTTTTAAAATTGCAGAAGTAAAATATGTTTGTATGTTCATCATCGAAGAAAATTAGAAAATGTGGATTAAAAAAAAAGGGAAAAAGAAATCACCCTTTACCCACTTCTAAAGATAACCTCTATTAACATTTTGGTACCTTTATTTCTGTTTACATGCTTATATGCCCATCCCTTAAAATGGGATCTTTCTGTTTCATAAACTGCTTTTGGAATACAATATAGCATGAGCATATTACCATATCAGTAAATATTTATTGTGTCAATATATTCACGTATATATTAATAAATCATCATTTTGAATGAGGTCTAGTTAACAAGAATAGTTTTATGTTACTTTACAATTTACAGAGTGCTTTCTCATGTGGTCGTTCAACTAACTTTGCCCAAGATAATTGTTTTTTTTAAAGATTTTATTTATTTATTTGACAGACAGAGATCATAAGTAGGCAGAGAGGCAGGTGGGGGCGGGGAGAGGGAAGCAGGTTTCCCACTGAGTGGAGAGGCTGATGTGGGGCTGGATCCCAGGACCCTGAGCCCATGACCTGAGCTAAAGGCAGATGCTTAACCCACTGAGCCACCCAGGCGCCCTGCCCAAGATATTTTTTTAAAGGTTGGTTTATTTATTTGACACAGAGAAAGAGAAAGTGGAGGGAAGAGGAGGAGGGCAGAGGGAGAGGGAGAGAGAGTCTCCAGCAGACTCTGTGCTGAGCGTGGAGCCCAACTTGGGGCTCCATCTCAGGAGCCAGAATCAGGAGTCAGATGCTTAACCAACTGGATGACCCAGGGGCCCCTGTGTGAAAGATTATTGAACAGTGTGGTTTCTGGAATATGGGGTCACAGCTGATTACCAAGTGCAGAAGCCTGTTTGAGGAACACCTTCTCCTTTCAGGGTGTGTGTCTTAGAGACGAGGTCGGTTAATAAGAAAGCTCATCCCAGTCCAGCTCAGGCGTGGGTTTGCTGTGCCTTCGGCCGGCCGCTATCCACTCTGATGCTTTTCCTCACTTTGAAAACATAGAACACCCCTTGCTGACCTGTGACCCCACCATGTGATGGTAAGGATTTCCATACCCCCGGAGGTGGTTAATTATCGACATGGGGTGCATTCCCCAGGGTTTGGGGCAAGTTTGCAAGGACTCCTGGGAAACTGCTGACAGCACTGTGGGGGCTGGCGGCTCTGCAAGGGGAGGGGCTGGGGCAGAGTTTCAGCTGAGCTGGTACTTCCAGGCTGCTTAGATGTGGTCTTGAAAGGGCCTCTTGACCTTCTGTCAACTCTGGGAGGGCTTCAGCATAGGTCAGACCTGAGGTAAATCATGTGGACTTGTTCTGGCCCCCTCTCCCCGGGGCTCAGACCCCTCCAACGTGTAATTCGTTAGTTCCTTGCTTGGACTGTATTCCTGCCAAAGGAACGCCAAGGCTTCTCTTCTGTTACCACCTTCGGTTACAGAAATAGAGGAGCATTGGCAGAGGAGGACTTACTGTTCACTCATTCCCAGAAAGGCTTCTTGCCTGAATGCTGGTGTCCCTCAGGCTCTCGGCCAACACTGCGGACTTTCCCTGAATCCCACCCGAGGCCTTCTTGTTTCCGGCCCTTCCCAAGGGGAAACATACAGCGTTCACTAGCCTTACGTAGAAGCTTCTGGAGAAGTAGTAGTCGTGTTATTTATCCCTTGCCACTATTCTGTGAGGTGGGAAGTGCTGTCTTTGTTGCACAGGTGGGGAGAACTGAGGAACTTCCTTTCCCAGGGCCACAAGGCTGTGAGTGGTAAAGCAGACATTGACTCAAGTCTGTCCGAATCTTTCCTGAGCAGCGTTCAACCAGCTCCTCTTAGTTGTGGGGCCTTTCACGTGGAGCAAAATGCAGAAGAACAAAGAAGCCAAGTGAGAGCAGAGCTACCGTCCTTGAAACCGAGAGGGGAGGAGTCCCTGGCTTCTCCCTCTTCCAGGGGGCCTGGGACAGCTCCATGGAAACCGTCCCAGAGCCCGTGCAAGGACATAAAGAAGACAGAAAGAGGACACCTGTTTACATCTTTGAAATACTCTACTGTCTTTGCAGGTAGTTAGGGCTCCGATACCCGTCATCTTAGCCTTGATAGAGGAGAGGGGTTCTGGGGGACTTAGGGTTTTAATTGCCCAGAGCGGAGGTTGGCAGGAATGCCAGGAGCAGACAGCTGGAGATGATTGTCACCGTGAGCTCAGAGTCTTGTCCGCAGCGCTGAGGGTTCCGAGTCCCTCGGTAGCGGCTGCCCAGCACCACCGCCGTCTGGACGAGTCACAGTAACGGTTCGGCAGGAAGAATAACAGCACAGTTCTTTGTATCCACGGCTGACTCCCAGGTACGCAGTGCAGCCTGCTGGCCTGTCCCACCATGTGCTTTTCCCCACACCCACCCCTCAAGTCCTTTACTGTGTGAGCGCCTGCTGTGTCCGCGGCCCTCTGAATGCAGAGATTAAACTACTGTCCCTGCCCTGGAAGAGCCCATAGACTGGCAGACAGGTAACTGCTGTACACGGCTGCCCGCACAAGGGTTAAGTAACACCTGCGAATGTCAGGGAAGGCTTCCTTAAGTGCCCAGCGTGGTTGCCATCGGCCTCAGAGTAAAACCCAGCTCCCCGTCAAGATAAGACCTGCAACTGTCTATCAGGCTTTTTTTGGTGGTTGAGATACGTGGAGAAAGTGGTGGTGTTTGGAGGACTCACCGAGGGAAAGCCATTGTCCCAGGAGACTGGCCAGGCTACCTGGCGGGCCGTGTGCTGGGATCCTCTGGGGCAGTGACTGGCCTGCTGCTCTTCTTAGGAGCCAGACCAGGCCATTTGGGATTCTTTGAGGGCAAGGCATGCCCTGTGCATTGCTGACCCCTGTTTCCGGATCTCTGTCTTTCCTTATCTAACAGTCAAGGTTCAGCTGTCTCCTGCCCCCATTCGGGTCTGGCCAGGAGCCCATCTGCTCTTTGTGCACTCATGGTATCTCTCTTGTGACTCATCTCTGTGTTCTAATTGACATTTTTTCTGTTCCTCTCACTGGCCTCTTTGTGGACAAGATCTGTATCCAGCATCCCAGTGCCCAGCCTTGACCTTGATGCATAGTAAATCTTTAGTAGATGTGTGAAATGAATGCATGGTGGTACATTTGAATTTGATCTTGAAAGACAGAGTTTATCAAGCAGAAAAATGGTAGCTGGGGATCTAGAGAGAAGGAACTGAGACTTGGTCCAGGGTCCATCATGACTTACTCTGTGTAGGCCCTAAACTTATCTGAAACTTGCTTTTGTCATCTGCAGAATGGCTATAATATTTATCTTGCAGGTTCGTAGTAGAGATTCAAGATGGTGTTATAAATGTCGTAGCTCCTCCTGCATCCAAAGTACCATGATGAAATAGGTACTGGGCCTACTTTTTTTTAAATTAAGTAATCTCTGTGCCCAGCATGGGACTTGGAACTCATGACCCTGACATCAAGAGTCATCAGCTCCATCAACTGAGCCATGTTTTGCTTTAAAATAACTTCACTTTGGGGCACCTGGGTGGCTTAGTCGGTTAAGCATCTGCCTTCGGCTCAGGTCATGATCCCAGAGTCCTGGGACCACACCCCACATTGGGCTCTCTGCTCAGCAAGAGCCTGCTTCTCCCTCTCCCTCTGCCTGCTGCTCCCCCTGCTTGTGCTCTCTCTCTCACTGTCAGATAAGTAAGTCAAATCTTGTAAAGTAAAATAAAATAACATGACTCTGTTAGTTGGAAACTACTGATGAGTATTTTTCGAAATTTGAGATTTGTGCTGAAAATACAAGGAGAACCACTGTTCAAACTGTCCGTGGCCTTATGGTTGCTTGTCCTGGGAGAATCGCTGTTTCTGGAAGAATTAAATACTACATGAGTTTTCCTTGTTCAGATTGTGAATTCATAGAATAATTATTCTAAGCTTTGTTCTCCCCATTCTCTGACTCACAGGACATGTGAAAGGAAAATTCTTCATGTGGATTTGAAAGGTCGGGAGGAAACTGAGGTCCTCATGGCTGACGCCCTGTTCTGCTCTTCCCATGTAGGCTGCCCTTGTGTGATTTTCCCCTTTGAATTACACACGGTCTCAGTTAACTGATCGGGGCAGGGATCTATCCATCCTAGGGGTCATTTAAAGGATCCTGTGACAGGAGGAAAATCTGTCGTAGGTGGTCAACTCTCCACGTTTCTAAAACTGAAAAAAGGTTACTGTGACGAAAGCTGAAGTTTTCTTAAAATAGGAAAAAAATGTATTCTTGGGATGCGGCCTCTTCTTCCAGAGTATTACATCAGCAGTAGTAACGACAGAAGAGTACGGCCGGCGAGTGCTGATTTAAACCCTCCGAGTGGCTCAGAGACTCTCACGGCCTCCTTGTGAGAATGGAGTTGTGATTTGCACTTTGTAGATGAGGAGTTTGAGGAAAAAGACTTTGAAACTAAGTGTGCCTGACTCCAGGGCTTTTGCTTCTAGAAGGCAGGCCTCCTGGTCTCCTGTCTGTGTCCCATTAGTGCATCTGCTCTGCTGGTCTCCCTCCGTGCCAGGGAGAGTGTGGCTAGCTCGGAAAGGCCTCGTGAGCTCTGTCGGTGAGATCGCATCTGTGGCAGTCTGAGATGGCTTCTGTCTTCTTCCTCTCCTCAGCTACGGGGTGCTGCTTTGGGAGCTCTTGACCGGCGAGGTGCCCTTCCGAGGAATCGACGGCTTAGCTGTGGCTTACGGAGTCGCCATGAACAAGCTCGCCCTTCCCATTCCTTCTACGTGCCCAGAACCCTTTGCCAAACTCATGGAAGGTAAGTGACTGCTGACTAGAACAAAACTAGAGCAGTGCTTGGGTAGATGTTGGACGATTCGGCCGGGTCCATCACACAGAGAGGAGAGGAAGTACAAGTCAGTCAGGGAGGAATCCCATGGGTGGTTGGAAGAGCCATTTTCAGGTGATGTGGGCACCTGCTGTGTTGATGTCACGGGTGCGCCTCTGTCCATCCCCAGGGACTGCAGAACTCCACTCAGTAACTAAAACCCACTACCCAGCAATTCAGTATTTTATTATCTAATACAAAATGAGAAGACATGACAGCTCTGTCTTTAAGATCTCCAAGTATATTACATCTAGAAACGAAGAACGTCCGAGAAGAGAACTCTAGGAGTCACCTGGTCCAACCCTGTAATTCCCTGAGCGAGAAATCCAAAGCTGAGAGAGACAAAGTACACTCTGTTAGCTAGTGTGTGAGCTGAGAAGATGTAGCGTTCACCGATCCCAACACCCAGTCCAGTTCTTTTTATCTTTGCCTCATCATCATCCCAGTGACGTGGGGAAGGCTGGCTCATTTATTGGTGGGAAACTGAGGTCCAAAGTCCAGTTACCACTGTCAGGACTGGAATTGTGTAGGAACGTGGTAAGTCCTGGTTGTTGAGCCTTGCGCCAGCAAACCCCTTGGACTTGCTTTTCTGATGCTAAGTCGGCAGGCAGAATCAGTTGGGGGCAGAACTGCTGCATCTGTTTCCACGTTCACTCTGGTCATGAGCGTGGGCAGCTTGCTTTCCCCAGCCCTGTGTGTGGTTGCTGAAATCCCCATGTTTCTGTTTCTGGAAGGAACATTGTGAGACAGTTTCCTGGTAAATAAGGTCACGTAATATTCTGTCTTACTCCTGTCTCTGTCCATTGGTGCTTTCTGTCTGCTCCCGTGCTCCACACAGATTGCTGGAATCCTGACCCTCATTCACGACCATCTTTCACAAATATCCTGGACCAGCTAACTACCATAGAGGAGTCTGGCTTCTTTGAAATGCCCAAGGACTCCTTCCACTGCCTGCAGGATGACTGGAAACATGAGATTCAGGAGATGTTTGACCAACTCAGGGCCAAAGAAAAGGTAAATAAAACAAGAAAAAAGGCACGCGTTGAATCAAGTGGGCCTTCCCCACTGGGCCTTCTCCGCTGGGGCCTCTGGACTGATTCTGACACAAGTACCTTCCTGCTTAAACTGAGGTAACAGCACCTTTTCTTCCCAACGTTACATAGAAGGAGTTCTCTGGGTCTCAGGTGTGTCCTGAAGTGGTAGAGACGTTTCCTTTCTTTCTGGGATTGGGCAGGAACAAGCTGGGCGTCATGAGCCCAAAGTTCTCCACGTGGAGTATCTATTCCACTGTCCAAACCAGAGGAAGAGCACCACTGGGCAGGCACCAGCAGGAAATCGGAGAGGGTTCTAGAATCCTTTCTAGGTTCCATAGTGGACTTCCAGAGTGGGGGTTACCTGGAGATAGGGACGCTTCAACACTGAACACAGTCATCAGCACATCCTGACACTGTCTTTGGTGTCAGAGTCAGAAACAAAAGATGGGCTGAAAATACTATGGTTCTGAAATGATAGGATGTTTTGTGTGTTTTTATGAAAAAGGCTAAAGCCTGAACTCACTGAGGAGCTCAGATATTCTTAGCTTACTAGAGATCTGCCATTCGTTTTGGTGGCCATTTCTTACATGGCTCCTCTCTGGGCCCCCGGTGTCTGAGGAGCGGTCCGCGTCCACGAGGGTGGGACTGCTGCTCCGGCTGGGCTGGATCTAAGGGCTACAGCCAGGGACACAAGCAATGGCCACGTGTCTCTTGGTGAATTTCTTTTTTCCCTCCTCGTTGTCCACTCGGGGCATTTGGGAAGCAACATGATAGAGGAGCTGAAATTATGTACATTTTTATGGCTTCTCAGTTCTTTCCCTTGAAAGACGTGATGATGGAAGAACCTTTCATCCTTTTTATCCTGCAGTCTCGTGGCTCCTGCCCCCCAGCATGTAGGCAGCTGTCACTGTCTCTCTCGTCCAGGGCAAAGGGTCAGTGACTTGTCTGCAGTCACACAGCCAGTAAGCGGGGAAGCACAATCTTCCTCCTGGGTCATCTGATTCCAAAGCCATCTTCTCTCCTCATCTTCTCTCTTCATCATTGTCTGCCTCAACAAATGACTTAAAAATCATTTCTGAAGCTCATTTGAAGAGATAAACCTCTTTTTATGGCACATAGCACTCCTCAACCTGGTACTACTTGGCAAGTCAATGAGCGTTCCACAGGGGAATGGACTGAGCTCATGACAGCTTTTTGGGCCCTGGGTGGGGGGAAGGGACCAGCACTGACTGAATGATTGAAAAAGGCCATTCCTCTGGCCCCCGGGTGGCTCAGTCAGTTAAGCATCTGACTTTGCCTCAGGTCATGGTTTCAGGAGGACGGAGCCCCACAGTGAGCCCCCCCACTCAGCAGGGAGTCTGCTTGTCCCTCTCCCCGTCCCCCTACTCATGTTCTCTCTCTTTCAAATGAATAAATAAATGAAATCTTGAAAAAAGAAAAAGAAGAGGAGGTGCTCCTGTTACTAGTGCTGTTCCAAGTAGAAGAACCTCGTGCTGCTGCCTCTTGAGGTTGTCCAGTCACTTGATTCATGGTTTTCTTGCTTTCGGTTGATGAAATTATAAGGGTACCCGCCAGTACGAAAAATGGAAGTTGGATTTTGTCACGGGTAGTTATTAGGAGAAGCCAAACCAATTCTCGTAGCAGCCAGCATTCGGAGAGCACGTACTATGTGCTGTGCTCTGTTGTAAAGCGATTTATAGGAATCCTTATAAAATCTCACGTAATAAGATAATAATTGTCTTATGTAAACAACTGTGATGTCAGTGCAGTTAACTCCATGGTACTTATAAGGCCCGCGGTAACTCACCCCGGGCCACGATTCGGGCAGTTTGTTCCAGAGTCCTTGCTCTTAACCACGGTGCCCTGATGCCTGTCCATGGGAAGATTCCTAGTGGGGCAAGTGAGGGTGAAGGATGGATAATGAGCTTTCTCTCTGGGGAGATGCCTCTTAAGTCACTGTGTGCAGTGAGGTGATTTGCATACGAGGAGGCTGATCCCGGACGGGTGCTTCACAAGAAGGAGGACACTCTCCATGTTTGAGAGGCTGGGGTCTTAGGGTGCCGTCGGCCAGTATTCCGTAAGTGTCCTGGTTTCTCATGAGTCAGCTTATTCCCAGCTTGTCTCAACTTACCGTTTCCAGATATAGCGATGATGGATTTGTCTCTGGACTGGGGTCTGAGTTCCCTCAAAGGAAGGGGCTACAACCCACACCATCCCGTAGATGAGAGCAGGTTCTGCCCATCTAATACAGCAGTGGTACCAGAGCAGGCGCCTGGCAAAGACTGGGAAATGTTTTCTCTTCTCTTTGCTGTGCTGCCGCAATCCTTCCAGAGCACAGCGTTTTCCTTCAAGATGAGAGTGCAAACCACATGCCTCCGTGGAGTCACTCACCAACTGAACAGAGGTGCAGAAGACACGCCTCACTGCCTTTTGAGCAATCACTCTGGAAATACATTTTTATTTGACTATTAGGTGATACCTGGAGGCTGATTCATTTATAGTGGGCACAGTTTAAGTCACATTTGGTTTAAAAACCATCCTTTATAGAATGGGAAAAAATGAAAGTACAACCAAGTCTGTAAAATTTAAGTACATGATAATATTTTCTATCCAAACGCCCATGTTTTTCCAGTCACAGGCAATTTTAATCAGTAATGTAGGAACCCTCAGCCCCCGTCTCCAGGGCTGCCATGGCTATGTCCACAGGTGGCTGGGCTGAGCCTGCCCTTCCTGGGCATCCAGCTCCTGGGGCGGTCAGGGATTCCTTTACCAGCCACCTGGGAGACCCGCGCCCTGTCTGGGACCTGGAGTATGGAGGCACCGGCCCTCGAGGGCCCTCAGCCTCCCCTCCAACCCGGGGCACCCCCCCTTCTCTGCCGTGCTTCTGCCCCTGCAGGAGCTGCGCACCTGGGAGGAGGAGCTGACGCGGGCCGCGCTCCAGCAGAAGACCCAGGAGGAGCTGCTGCGGCGCCGAGAGCAGGAGCTGGCCGAGCGGGAGATCGACATCCTGGAGCGGGAGCTCAACATCATCATCCACCAGCTGTGCCAGGAGAAGCCCCGCGTGAAGAAGCGCAAGGGCAAGTTCCGGAAGAGCCGGCTGAAGCTCAAGGACGGGAACCGCATCAGCCTCCCTTCCGGTCAGTGGCCGGGGCCCTGCGGGGAGCTGGGGACCCAGCTCCGCGAGGCAGGACGCTCTGGGTCTCAGATCGGGGTGGGCTCGAAGTGGGCTGGCCATCTGGGGGGAGACTGGCCCGCGGCCAAGCTGGTCCACACCGGGGGAGTTTCTGAGTGTGACTAAACAGACCGAAGGGAGGACAGACGGGTCGCGGGCAGACCTGACGGGCACGGTCCAGACAGCCAGCAGCCTGGTGGCTCCCGTAGAGGACTCAGGGCTCTGCAGAATAACTCCTCTCAGGGTTTCTTTGAATAACCAGTTCTCTGGCCGCAGTGGAGAGTAGGATTCTCGGGTAGGAATTTGAGTTGCACACAACCTTTCAGAAGCACTTTGGGTGAGGAGAGGTACATCTGTACTATGTTCAGCCTTGAGAAAATGCAAATCAACACAAAACCATGAGTTAGAATCTTTGTGGGCTGTAATGGACCCATGGAGGGAGGCGGTGCTCAATGTGGGTTTGTTGTATTCTACGTCTACAAGGTCCTGGGAAGCAAGCTCAGTAGAGGTGGGAGGAAACCGAGGGAAAATAGCATCACCGGGACACAGTGGAGGATTTTAAGCCCCGGGGTGATGGCTTCAGTGCAAGCACGGGAATTCATCCAGTGCAATCCCGTGGCTGGATTTGTGGGACATGTCTCCTAGTGTTCTCGTTGCACATTTTCCTGGCCGGCAGCACAGTCTGTGAGCCCCTCTGGAGCGTGTCGTGTGTGGTGGCTGCTGCTGTGTGCTGGGGAAGCTCGGAGGGAAGCAGTAGTTCCCACCTTCAGGGAGATCGCATCTACTCAGGGGACCCCGGTGCAGACACTTGTCTGTTTATTATACCTCTTGATAGATGAGGACACTGGGACTTAGAAAACCAGGGCTGTAATGTTTCCCTTCTTTATGCCGTACCATAACTGCCTTTGGAAAACACCACAGTTTGGACCATTAATCACCCACCAAGGATGAGTCCTTATTACTCTACTCTGCCTGCCCTTAGTGAGAAGCTTCTGGCTCCCTGCCTTGGTCCCCGAGAGAAGGGGGCCTGTCCTCATCGTTTGTAAGAAACCAAATTTTAAGTTAGATTTCCTAGATTGATCAGCAAGTCTCATGATCTTAAGAGAACTTTATAAATCTGTAGTTGCTACACCTACCCGAGCTATAGATGAGCTTGACTTGGAGAGTGAATTTTCCTTCTCATACGTTCAGCCTGTTGTCCTGCCATCTTCTGGGAGAAAGCGTTTCCCAGGCGAACAAGTTGCTTCTTAGGAAACCGGGGCCTGTCCCTCCAGCCCGCTGGGAAGTGTCACTTTTCTCATAGGAACTGGATTATGGAAAATTCTAACACGCACGCATGTCTGTCTTTCCCCAAGCAGATTTCCAGCACAAGTTCACGGTTCAGGCCTCCCCCACCATGGATAAAAGGAAGAGTCTCGTCAGCAGCCGCTCCAGTCCTCCCGCGAGCCCCACCGTCATTCCTCGCCTTCGGGCCATCCAGTGTGAGACTGTTTCCCAAATTAGTTGGGGCCAGAACACACCAGGGGCCTCTGTCCCCTGCTCTGTCCAGCCACCGACTGGCCCAGGCTTGCTCCATCCATAACTTCTGCCACCTCTCCTCGGCAATGTGTATATACATGCACATATGTACGCAAACCCTTAGCCCTCCTTCTTGTCTCTCTCCATTAGCTTTATACTGCTCCCTTCCCTACTTTTCCTCTTAGAGACCAGCAGAGGGGTTTGTCGGCATTGATGGGATCTTTCGTGAACTACAGAGCAATTCGGAAACTGGCATGTGCTATAGGTAGCCTGGGACCTGGCCTGGGCTGGTTGGTACCCTGGCCTGGGGACCTTGTATGCTCTCTGCCATATTCAGGGCATCATTGTTTTTTGTTATCTTTCATGCTCCCCAAGGGAAGGGTGTTTTCAAAGTGTAGGTCCTAAGGAAACTTGCCACATACTTCGTGATAGGTCAAGTCTGGACCAATTATATTCTTAAAATTTTACAAAATTTACAAAAAATTTTAAAATTTTTACAATTTTAGTGTTTATTAAAAAGAATTTCCACACACGCCTGTGTGTATGAATGGAGTTGTTTCCCTAACTTAAAGATAGAGATTTCATTTAAAAACAAACAAAAGACAAGCTCTGGCTGGCTCTCCTTGAAAAACCCGTTCATATCTGTGGCTTCCCTTTTTTCATGTGGCCACCGTTGGCTGGAAGCAATGGTGACTTCCATATGCTCTGTATTTTACCTCAGTCTCCTCAACTCCTGTTTTTTTGGTGTCTGGAGCCATCTGCTCATTTAAGATACAAGCCTAGTCTCTGAGGCATTTGGGTTTGAACTTCTGCTGTAAGGCAGTAATGTTAGAATAACGTTCCTCCTCTCTTACCTTTATTTTATATAATTCTCTAGGCCGTTCCGTCCTCTTCTCCTCCAACTCCTGACTTCCTGCTTCACAGCCTTGACCTCCTCATTGTCTTCCTTTCTTACCAAAATTCTTCTCTGCACCTCTGAGTCTTCCCTTTCACCCTTACCTTTTTTTCCCTTCCTACCTACCTCCTTCCCTACCTACCCCGACTCCAGTTCCACTGGAACAAAACAAGTTCCGTAAGCCAGATCTGTTTGGAACTCCAGTGTCCGGCTGGCCTAAGCACCAGCTTTGCCTCGGACTTGGGAGAATCGGGGAAGTTTCCCGTGTTGGGTGCTTTGAGAGCGCTCGGTGACGGGTGCCTGAGGACTCGAAGGCTCCACTTGGGCACAGAGTTTTTGACTTCTCCCCTGCAACTCCATATGTGTGTGTGTGTCTGTGTCTATCTGGTGAGGTAGAGGCTAGTTTTGGGGGGTCCCTGTTTATCTTTTTTTCCAGGTCCCATCCAACTTTTGTTATTCACAGTGACACCGGGTGAAAGCAGCAAAACCTGGGGCCGGAACTCAGTCATCCTGAGAGAGGAAGGGGAGGAGGAGGAGAAGAGGGCCCCCAAGAAGAAAGGACGGACGTGGGGGCCAAGCACGCTTGGTCAGAAGGAGCTTGCCTCTGGAGATGAAGGGTAAGAACCAGAAGGAGGCGACTCCTTCCACTTAAAGACGGGTGCTGCCTTTTAGAACTATGAAGTGAAATACTTTCTCATTGTTGTGGGTTTCATTGCTTTCTGAGAAATGACAAGCCTGTGGATCTTTGCAGTGGTTTTCCAATATCCTCGCTCCCTGGACCTCCCCTAGGAAGGGGCTCAGCATACTTCTGTGTATGGTAATTATTTTAGGCTTTGCGGGTCCTGTCTTCTCTTTTCCAGCTCCTCCGCTGCTTTGTTGCGGTGCCAAAGCAGGCGCAGACCACGGGCGACATGTAACTGAAGGAGCGCGCCTGTGTTCTTTCAGTAAGACTCACAAACACAGGTGGTGGACGGGAGTCAGCCCTCCTGTTCGAGTCTGCCGAGCCCTGCCGGTGTTGGCTCTTCCCCTTCAAACACCCGTGCAGAGCAAAGAGAAGGAAGGGCAGGGCTTACGGGACCCTCTTAACTTGGAGGCTTATCCCAAAGCAAAGGCGGTCAGAATAACCCAGCGCTGGCCGTCTGTGCACTCAGATGTAACACCAAGGCCACCAGAACTTTTTTTTTTTTTTTAAGATTTTATTTATTTACTTGACACAGAGAGAGAGAGCACAAGTAGGCAGAGAGGCAGGCAGAGATAGAGAGAGGATGGGAAGCAGGCTCCTTGCTGAGCAGACAGCCGGATGCAGGATTTGATCCCAGGACCCTGGGATCATGACCTGAGCCGAAGGCAGAGGCTTTAACCCACCAAGCCACCCAGGCACCCCCAGAACTTTTTTTTTAATTTATTTAAATTCAATTAATTAACAGTTTCAGAGGTAGAGTTCAGTGATTCATCAGTCTCCTGTAACACCCAGTGCTCATGACATCTCGGGCCCCCAGAACTTCTTTTAAGTCCCACCTCCTAGCCACACTGAGTGTGTGAGCAGCTGCTCTGGGCAAAGCACGAGACCTGGCTTTGCGTCTTAGACGTGCTGGTCTTCCTGAGCCTTATGGGTTAGAATCGCTCAGGTCCTGGCTTCTCGGAGGCCGTGCCTCGTGGTGCAGTCCGCAGCAGCGAGCGCACCTGCTGACCCCAGGCCGTCCCGTCCCCACCGTGCCTCGCCCAGTGGCCTCATGTCTTCCCGTCTGTAAAACGGGGTTCCGTCGGCACCTACCAGTGGAGCAGAGACAAGGATTAAATAAGTTCCTCTTTGGGACATGCAGGCAGGATTCGCTGGCTCCTGGTGAGCCTGCGTAAATACGGCTATGCTGTTGCACGCCTCTTGTGCCGTTTCCATGTCGCTGCTGAAGAATGAGCGTCGTGGTTTATGGTTCTTATTCTTGATGTTAAAACCTAGAATCCCGTTTCTTGACTTTTCTGAGTGAGAAGCAGCAGCAACCCCCTTCTCCCTTTGCAGTGACTTTCCTGAGCTTGTGCCTTGCCCTGGCCCTGGCTCTGGTATTCCTTTGACTACTAGACCATCTCAGGTCCAACGTCTGTTTTCTCCTGTCAGATCTGAGCTGAAGGCGAAAATGTCAGTTTGGTGCATAAAGAATTGACTCTTTGAAGCCAGGCTTTAGAAATCACTAGATGCCTTGGAATAGGCAAAGGGAAGGGAGGGAAGGAGGGAGGGAGGGAGGGAACTAAGGCAGGCAGACAGGAAGGAAAATTTAGGTATGTAGGGTAAACTGCCTAAGCTGAGAGTTCAGTGCCTGAGCCCTCTAGGAATGGTAAATTGTTCTAATGCGGTTGGTTCTATAGGGGCAAGAGCTCCACAGTCTGATTGTGCTTGAGCCCTGGGGTCCAGTAGGGTTGTGGTGGGTCTGAGAAACTCAGACCCTGAATCCCTTGATATTTCTGACTTTTGTTTGATTCCTGACAAGATTTCCAAGGTTAGCTGTGGATCCCAGTAGTTTCTATAGTTCTGTTTCATTTATAGATATATTTTTTTTTGGTCTTGCTGGTAAATTCACTTTATTTCACATTCCAAAATATTTATTTTGGCATTTCTTCTCCCTTACATAGATTTGTCTTCAAAACTGTTAAAACAGTTCAAAATATGACTTATAATTGATTCTCAATTCCTAGTTAAGAAATCACGTATATTCCGTTCATTCTCAAGTCAAATGTCAGAAATTTTTGAGAGCCTCTGTATGACAGTATTTCTAATTTTAGTCCCTATCAACGGAAGAAAATATGTAACAGCAAGAAGCTATATTGAATTCAGTAATGTTAAGTGAATCTGCATCTCCATCCTTTTAAAAAAAATAGTATATATCTTATAGGAAACATATACTTGCTCATAGACAGCTTGGGTATGTGGCTTCATGCTGTCTCTGCAGTTACGCTGTGGCGCCTCAGGGACCTTTGCCCCACAGATTGGGAGGTCCTGGACCCGTGGGAGCTTGAACACGGCCACCTCGTTAAGGTTCCCGCATGGTGTGGGCTGTGCTGAGTGGGCACGAGGAGGGCGGCTAGCCACATGATTTGAGTCCAGCCTCGAGGGCTCCCATGTGGGAGAGACTGAGTTGGATGTACCCACTGTCGCCTACTACTGATTTTCTTTATTCATTGAAGATCCCCTCAGAGACGTGAGAAAGCTAATGGTTTAAGTACCCCATCAGAATCTCCACATTTCCACCTGGGGTGAGTCTCATCTCCACCCTTCCATCAAGTGTGTTCGTAATAGTTCCCCTTCCATTTCCTCGTTCTCACGGCACACCCCGTAGAATCGAGCCTCATTATTGCCAAGGCTGTGCTGACTTTTTTTCCTTTAAAGCAGTACCCCTGTGCACCCTGGGATCTTCCTGTGTTGGTCTGACTCTCCCTTTCCTCCCTTCCCTGACCGCGCCTGTGGTTGGGATTCTTCCGGCACCCTTAGTTATAGGGGGATGACACAAGGCTGTTTGTCATCTTTAGCACTGGCTTTGACTTTGCTAATCCGGATCCCCCTGAACCCAGAAGATACTAGAAGATTGTCAGTTAGAAGTCCCAGGCTGTGGGTTGAGTAGCACGCTTATCTCTGTGTATTTTAGTGGAAACCACTGGTGGCTGAATGTACTTGAATTCATTGGTATTTCTGATAACACTTGAAACATCCGAAATGAGGGGAAACATTGGTCCTTCTCTCTCCCTCAGGAAGGACTGGGAAGAGTGGGCTTAATCTGAGTAGCTTTTTCTGATCCTAAAATGAGAGCCACCTCTGATTATTATCCTGGTATTTCCAAGGTAACGATAACCCACAGATTTCCTCAGCCTTCCCTTTTTATTGTCTGTTAGAGAAAAGACCAGTGCTTCTGGGCCTCTGATTCCCCCATCATATGAGGGGGCCGGAGGGGTCCCCCCTCATGGTCCCCCGAGTTACTGGCTTGCAGGTGTGAGCTCTTCGCGGGGATCTGAAAGAGAGCTCCTGCCCTTTTCCTCTCCATTCCCAGACAAACCAGGGGCTCCAGTGCAGCATTATGTACTCTGCACATAGGTCCGTCCCAAAGTGCACTGGGTTGGTGCAGCTTTGTTGGCTGGTTTTTGTTTTTTAAAAGTGGCTGTGACCGTTGCCTGAGCATGCCGTACGCCGGGAGGGAGTGGAGAAACGGCCTGAGTGGAGCAGGATGGCCTGTCCATGTGTGCCGGCTCCCCTGCCGGGGCTTGCCTGGCATCGCAGTGTCCCCTGATGTCAGCACTGTGCTGTAGACAGTGTCCCGGAGCGATGGCCTCTTTCGGAAGATGGGCTCGGGCAAGACCCGGGCCAGTGCTGGGCAGTCCGCGTTCTTCTGCCCTCTTGCCAGCCTGCCTGCTAGACCTTTCCCCTGCTCCCTGGCAGCATGTGGAGGGGTGGGTTCACAGCCCTGCTTTTCTTTTCCGAGAGCATGTGTACCTCTGTTTGCGATGCGAGGGGACTCGGGGTTTGTTGCCTCTACGCCAAGGCTCGTGGGCTTTGGTGGAATTAATAGGCTCCTAGGGAGAGACATTTGCGCAGGCCCGTGGAGGTGAGGGTAGAGTAAGGGAAGTAACCGGTTCTCACAGTTTCCTCGTTTCCTCCCGTCAGCCTCAAGTCCCTGGTAGATGGTTACAAACAGTGGTCGTCCAGTGCCCCCAACCTGGGGAAGGGCCCGAGGAGCAGCCCAGCGCTGCCAGGGTTCACCAGCCTTATGGAGATGGGTGAGCACTGCCCTTGTCCGGACCCTCCCTGTTCCCTCCGGGGAATTTTGGTCAAGCTTCTGGGACTGTCTGAGGACCCCTGGTGCCCCTTCATGGGGGTCTCCTCTTTCCCCGACTCCCGGGCCCCACCTCCTTCCCTCTTTGCTCGCTCTACTCCCGTTTCGTTGAACCTTCCCCAGTCACAGTTTCTTCCTCCTGCTGCCCTGGGGCCTGCCCGCGGCCTCCCATCCCAGGGAGCCAGGTATAGTCTCCTTAGGGCGGTGCAGAGGGTGAGGCCTTGAATCAGGCACTTCCCTTTGCTGGGTCGCTTCCCTTTGTATCTTAATATGGGGAGTCTGCAAACCAGGAGATGGTGGCGGGGGACACTGTGGTCTTTCTCCAGGGAAGCTTTCCAGTTGCTTGGGATTGCTGACTGGGTAAGGTCTCCTCCAGGCTGTCGCTCAGACAGCAGGTGCTGTTCTCTCTGGAGACTTCCAAGGTCGCAGTGGGTCAGTTCATAGAGTAGATGCACTTTCACCGTGGAGGGCATTCTGGTCCATTGCAGGACACTGGTCTAAGGACCGGTCTCTAGGCCATCCCAGAAATTCAAGGTCTCTTCCAATTTTAAGGTGCAAAAAAAGGAATGTTTCTCTTCTACCCACTATTCTAGGACACTCACACTCTACCTCTTGTGTTGAGGGTCCCTATGAAAGGAGTAGAAAAGTGGCAGATTTCCTCTTCAGAAAACAGGAAAGGAGGCTGTGGAGTGGAGAGTGATTTCCTCCGGTTGGTCACGGTTGAGCGTGGAGGGCTAAAGCCCTGGGGGTCCATGCCGGGTTCCTTAGACTCTTCAACCTTCGCATTCCTGACGCTCCGCCAGGAGGCAGGGGTGGTAGAAGGACAGGATTCTCTCGCTGCTTCATCTCCATGTCCCGTGTCCCCTCCCTTCCTCTCGTCCGCACAGAGGATGAGGACAGCGAAGGCCCCCGAAGCGGGGAGGGTCGTCTACAGCATCCACCCAACCAGTCCTACCTCTGTATCCCATTCCCTCGTGGAGAGGACGGAGAGGGCCCCTCCAGTGACGCAGTCCACGAGGAGCCCACCCCGGTCAATTCTGCCACCAGTACCCCGCAGCTGACGCCCACCAACAGCCTCAAGCGGGGCGGCGGCCACCACCGCCGTTGTGAGGTGGCCCTGCTCGGCTGTGGGGCTGTTCTCGCAGCCACGGGCTTGGGGTTCGACCTGCTGGAAGCCGGCAAGTACCAGCTGCTTCCCCCGGAGGAGCCTGAGCCCCCAGCCCGGGAGGAGAAGAAGAGGCGCGAGGGTCTTTTCCAAAGGGCCAGCCGGCCCCGTCGCAGCACCAGCCCCCCCTCCCGGAAGCTCTTCAAGAAGGAGGAGCCCGTGCTGCTGCTGGGAGACCCCTCCGCCTCCCTGACGCTGCTGTCGCTCTCGTCCATCTCGGAGTGCAACTCCACCCGCTCCCTGCTGCGCTCTGACAGCGACGAGATCGTGGTGTACGAGATGCCCGTCAGTCCGGCCGAGGCCCCGCCCCTGAGCCCGTGCACCCGCAACCCCCTGGTCAACGTCCGTGTGGAGCGCTTCAAGCGGGACCCGAAGCAGTCCCTGACTCCCACCCACGTCACCCTCACGGCCCCCGCGCAGCCCAGTGGCCACCGGCGGACTCCTTCCGACGGGGCCCTCAAGCCAGCGGCTCTCCTCGCCAGCAGGAGCCCCTCCAGCAATGGGCTGAGCCCCAGCCCTGGAGCAGGTGAGCCCTGCCCTCCTCCTCTTTCCTCTTTCCTGCCTCTCTGCCCTGCCCCCCCTCCAAGAGTGGCAGTATTGGAGTGAATGTCCTTCCTCCTCTGACTCCGCTCACCAGGACATGCTGCCCTCCGCTGGGGAGGTGGCCCGGCCGGCTGCCCTCTCTCTGTCCTGTGCCTCAGTGCAGGAGAGACAGAAAGGTTCTAGGCAGGATCAGACCCGGGGCTCCGGGAGATATTCAGGCCCTGGGTCTTGGAGTGCACCGTGTGGTGCTTGCAGGGTACGGGTGGGGCGGGAGCCTAGCTCTGCTTGTTCCCAGAAGGGGAGACGGAAGTTCCCAGAAGGAATGGCGTGTTGCCCCAGGAGGGGCATCTGGTGCCACGTGACTGGGCTCCGGCCTGCCATTACTGCGCTGGTGCAGTCGTGCTCACAGGCAAGCTTCCTCCTGGGCGACCTACCCTGCATCGGTCATCCCTTACTCATGGCTGACTCCCCCGACGCGGACAGGGATCCCGGTGAACCGCTGGGCCCGGCGTGTGCCTCTCTCCTCCATCTGACACCGAGCTACCTGGCCATCCTAATTTCACATCGTTCCCACCAGCAGCCCCTGCCCCTTTGGGGACCTGAATCTGACTCTGAAACCCCCCTCACCCTGCAGAAGACGAGATGGTGACTGAGATTTGAGTGATACTTGAGTGTAAACGACAGTTATTTTCCCTTCCGCTTGCCCCCTCCCCTCTTTAGATTTTTTTTGCTGTGCAGATGTGTGTCCTCTTTGGGGAGAGACCTTATGCCGCATCTGTAGAGTTTGGTTACCTTGATTTGTTCCTGCCTCACGTGTTTATTCACTGAATCAACTGGGAATAAGCAGACCTTAAGTCAGGGTCAGCGAACTTTCTTGGTAAAGGGCGAGAGAGTAAATATTTGAGGCTTTATGGGTCCCGTGGTGTTTGTTGTAACTACTCAACGCTGCTGCTGTAGTGGGAGAGCGAGAAGTAGACATGGCTGTGTTACACTGAAGCTTTATTTGCCCACAGAGGGTGGTCCGTGGGGCATAGTTCTGCCTTAAGCTGTTTCATTACAGATGTCACCTCCTTATGTCCCATGATTACTGTTCTAATCAGATACAGTGATCACGGCCTTCTGCTTCACTACTGTATCCCCAGTGCCTCCCAGCACACTGCCTGGCAGGTCATTGGTGCTCATTAACTATCTGTGACTCGGGTTGGTCCAGGTGACTAAGGATATGGCGGCTGTGGGGAGGGAGTGGTGTCTAGCTGGCCCAGGAATGTGGTGTTGTCATCTGATGCTTCTCCCTTTGTCTCTTTGACCAGGAATGTTGAAAACCCCCAGCCCCAGCCGAGACCCAGGTGAATTCCCCCGTCTCCCTGACCCCAATGTGGTCTTTCCCCCAACCCCAAGGCGCTGGAACACACAGCAGGACTCCACCTTGGAGAGACCCAAGACCCTGGAGTTTCTGCCTCGGCCACGTCCTTCTGCCAACCGGCAACGGCTGGACCCTTGGTGGTTTGTGTCCCCCAGCCACGCCCGTAGCGCCTCCCCAGCCAACAGCTCCAGCACGGAAACACCCAGCAACCTGGACTCCTGCTTTGCTAGCAGCAGCAGCACTGTGGAGGAACGGCCTGGACTTCCGGCCTTGCTCCCATTCCAGGCGGGGCCGCTGCCCCCCGCCGAGCGGACGCTTCTGGATCTGGACGCAGAGGGCCAGAGTCAGGACAGCACCGTGCCGCTGTGCAGAGCTGAACTGAACACACACAGGCCTGCCCCTTATGAGATTCAGCAAGAGTTCTGGTCTTAGCATGAAATGGGCTGGGGGCGGCCAAGGGGGAAGCAGGAGGAGATCGGGGGAGCTGGTTGGCACAGCCCTTTCTCAGAGTTGGACCCCCCTGAAATCCAGCCCTACTTCTTGCACTGATAATGCACTTTGAAGATGGAAGGGGTGGAAGCAGGGCCACTTCAGAGGGTCCCCTGCCCTGTAGGGCCTTTCTACCCACGTCCACTGGAAGGGGCTGTGGCCATCAGCTCTGGCTGTGTAGGGGAGAGAGGGGTGCGTGCATGTCCCCCATCCTCCACAGTCTTCCTCGCCTTTCGGGTGGCCCTGCGGGGTCACTCAGCCAAATTTGTCTGCTGCTCCCTCTCCTGAGCCCCCCGGGTAAGCCCAGAGCCCATCCTGGAGCCCTCGTATTAGCCCTGAGTTCCACCTTCCCAAACACCAGTATTGGATGTTCTGTGATTGATTTTTGCTCCTCTTCCACATCCTTCCCCAACATCCATGAATCCGCATCTCAGCTGGGGTAAAATAGGAGCTCTTCGGGGTCCTCAGTCCTTACGTGCCAGCCAGAGGACCGAGGGCACGGTGCCCCAGCGTGGGGCGCAGGAGTTGCCAGACCCAGCACTGACCTGCCTGTGTTTCCAGGTGCCCCCTCCCTGCATTTATTTGAGCCTTGCAGGAATGAGGGGACCTGCCTCAATGAGAACTGAGGGGAGGGGGAGGAGGAGTTAGGAAACCCAGAGTTGAGTGGCAGCCAAGAGGGTCACAGAGTCTGTCCTTGTTCCTTTTGGAAACATGCAAATAAGGGCAGAAACCAGCACCGTTGATGGCATCCATCTCCTACCTGGGGTCTGGACATGGCCAGACCAGTTTCTGCCCCAAACATGCTCATCCCAGGGATCATTTCTTGGGAGACTCACTCACCGGTGCCAGTTCTGAAGCCAGAGACGAAGTTCCTGCGCTTGTCCATTTTGTTGTCTGACCTTTATGTGTGACGCCCGCCCGTCCCTTGACCTTTCCTCCCATCCTGGGATCAGTGGACTTTGGGTTGTGTGTGTGGTTGGTAGAGACTTTGTGCCGCTCCAGAAGAGCTTATTGGTGGGGGCAGAGTGGGGGCTCCTGGACAGTGGGAGCCAGAACTGGGGGGATATCTTCTCAGCCAGGCCGTCCATTCCGGGATGCCCTTGAAGGAAAACGGAGCCTTAGTGGTACCTTCCGCAAATGGACACGGTGAGGCCATGATGTTTGTAAGGTGCTCAGTGAGCCCCTAATGATTGTGCCCCAAGCTTCAAGCCCCGGGCTCCGCAGGCTGACCACGGTCCCTTGTCACTGTACACAGGACGCCCCGATGCTGGGCTCTGGACCCTGCACGGGGTTGGAAGGAGAGCAGAGGCCAACCCCTACTTTTCTGGAGTTCGTTTCCTTGACTTGAATGTTGAGTTGCTTCTAGAGCTTTCTCCTGTGTACCTTCACTTCTCCGCTTACCCTGAGGCCTCCTGTGTCAAGTGTGAACAGTTGTCTTGTGCAGGACACACACATGAACTTGATGGGGAGCAGAGCCTTAGGTCCCCTGGACTTGGCTGTCCTGTGTCATCTCTCCTTTGTGCAGTGAAGACTGCGAGGGACCATTTTTGCCTCCATCCCCCCCGCCCCTTGGCCAGAAGGGGAAAAAAATGTGAATCCTCTCCACAGTTCCAGCCCACCAAGTGACTCCCCTTTGTTCTTGATGGGGAGAGGGCCGCAGGTGGTCTCTTCCTTGCCCTTCCCTAGGACTCTCCATAGCCCCGTTCCTAAGTCACTAACGCATTTGCAAACTCTTGGCTCCGCTGAATGGCCCCTTGGCGGGGCGCAGCCTACAGCAAGATCCAAACCCGCTGGCTCTGGGCCGCGCTCTGCACGGTGAGGCAACTGACGGTTCTCTACTTTTCGTTGTTTCTTGGGGTGGTAGCCATCTCTGTTGGGAGCGGCAGCATGACGGTTGCAGTGCCGGCTGAATGGTGGCCACTTGGCCTTGCGTGAGAGGTGGAACCCGTTTCTTACTCCCCACCTGGAGAGAAGACAGGGGACGCCTGGGTCCGCTGAGGGTAGAATTGCATGTGCGAGAGGCAGAAGCAGGTTTAGTCTGAAGCGGCTTTGGGGAGCTCGCCCAGGGACAGAGGAGTTCCTTCTCAGCTCCTCCAAACCCTGTCTCTGATGGGCCCGCTGCACACTGTCTCTCTGTGGGGCGAGGCTCGGTTGAATACGGATCCTGTGTAGTAATGGGTTTGAGTTGCTTTCTGTCCACCTCGGCCCCTGGCCTCTGTGGCCGCGGTCAGGAGCAGGCCTTGAAGCTGGGGTCAGCCCCGGCCGTGGCATTAGCCAGCATCTCCTGTTCTCTTTCCTTCTCTTTCCTCAGGAACACTTACCCTCTGCTCTTGGCAGGTGCTCACTACCTAGAATGTGGTGACGGGAAGCAGGTCCTGCTTTCTGCTCCTCCTCCCCAGATCCTTCCACGGATTCTAAACAGGATTATCCTCTCTTTACCCCCTTGGGGATCCAGGCCATTGCCAGGGCCTGAGTGGATGTCCCCACTTTCCCCAAATGTTATGTCTAAGAGACTCTGGAGGTGGTCTTCACCTCGCATCCTGTAGTACCCCCGGGTCCGGGGGTGGTGGTGACGATAGCTCACAAGGGTCCACTCGGAATGATGCTAACCTTTCCTCCCGGCCTTTACAAGCTTGCATCATTGTCCTGATACACCTGCTGGTACAGAAGAGGAAGTGCTTCAGGAGGAAGACATTCAAGGGAAGAGAAGTTGACAAGCTGTTTGGGCTGGCTGCTGAGTTGGGCACCGAGATCTTGAGCCCTGAGCAAGGTGTCTCTCTCCCACTTTCTGCTTTGCTCTCTGGCCTCGGGCTTGGACTTTCGCTCCTCTCACATTCCCTTCCTGTAAAAGCCACCGATACCCACTTCCCTGTCAAGGCCTTGAGGACAGGTATCCCAGCAGGTCAGCGAAGCCCTCCGCTCCCTGCCGACCATCGGGACGGACTGCTGGCGTCAGCAGTGTGGTTCTCACCACTTCTGCCTCTGAGGGACTTGCCTCCTGTTCCTTCCTTTGGTTTCTGGAAGAGTAGTGCTTCGGAGTTGGCTTAGTCTGGGGGCCATGGTCAGGCGTGTGTTCTTCCACATTTATGTGGCACCTGGTGTTGTAAGCGCCCTTTCTACTCCCCCCCACTTCACTTGTCCTGCTGGTCCTTACTGTCACCGTCTTAGGAAGGGAGGACCGAGGAGACGGGGAGGCTGGAGGCAGCGTCAGAATGACAGTTTAGGGTCTCAGATTTTTTTAGGAGTCATTCCCAGAGTCTGCTTTGTTCAGAGACTGGAATCGGACCAGTTCCTGAAAGAAAGTTTGTGAGAAGGTCTGCCGGACCTTGAGATCCATGTCCCGGTGTGAGGCTCTTTACAAGGCCCCTATTCCCTCCAGCCATGGTTGCTCAGGGACACAACAAGACACCCCAAGGGCACCCAGGTGTGGCTTATGGTCCACGCTCTTGCTCCGCAGTTCCCACAGTGGAGGCCCCCTCTTCCCTCCGTCCCCCTACAAGCGGGAGACAGCGCCTGAGCATTGCTAACTCTTCCAGCACACGTTTTACAAAAGCAGAGAGCAGGGAACTCTGAAGGCCGGACAGCTGCGAAGGGGATGCTTCAGGGAGCCTTGACCTTTTCTCCCGTGTTTAATTAAGCCTGTGCTTTTGACTCAGGTAGGGGAGGGCCCCCCTTCAGGCAGGTGAGAAACACTCCGTTGCCTCTTGAAGGATTTTGGGGAAGAAGCAGATTTGTTCTTGCTGTAGTGCCAGGCTTTTCCAGAAAGCTCTGCCAGAGTCTGTGGTGCCCTGGGTCAGCCCAGAGCAGCCCACAGCACGTTGTGGTCCCAGGTGACCGTCGTGGCAGGAGTGGCAGACTAATGGTGACCTGAGCTGTCTCCATACTAGCTTACTAGCTATGTGGAGTTGCAAATGTTTCTTCCCTTCTCTGGACCTCTGAGCCCAACCAGGAACTAAGGGGGATGCTACCTTCCCTACCCGAAGCACGAAAGAGCCCTTTAACTTCAAAATGTGTGATTCTGGAACCCAGGGTCCAGCACCGAGGAGCCTCCCCTTGCTGGATCGCTTCTCTTTGCGGAGAAAATGTGTGTGTGCGTGCGCGTGTGTGCGTGTGTGTGTGCGTGTGTACGTGTGGTTGTAGGTCAAAACCAGTCGAATCTTGGCAGTTTCCTTTGGTTCAGCATACTGGGCCACCTGCCTCTCCCCTTGGCTTCAGGCCTAGGGATGAGTTCTTGTCAGGCTACTTTTATTACTCGCAACACAATCCCAAATGCTCTCTTCTTTCAGACGAATCCTTGCTTTCTTAGATCAGGAATTCAGATCAGTGAAAATCCACACTAGAAAGGAAAACGTGTTGCTGTGCTGGGAGTCCTCGGTCCCTCGCTCCTCCCCTGCCTGGCCACCCGGGCGCCCCCCGTCGTGGGCACTGGCGTTTGAAGGCAGGACGCAGAGACCGGAGTCCTGGCTAATGAAGTCCCAGGATTTAGGTTCCTAGTTAAGCTGACCCTGCTCTGGGTGTCTGGTTGGCTGTGCAGGCTGGGGGAGCCTCTCATCAGCCTCTCCGCCTGCTGACTATTTCCCATTCGTCCCAGTGAGACACCGTCAGCAACTCCCTCCTTTGTTCATTTCTTGTCTTGGGCCTGTGTCCCCCCAGGCTGCTCAGGGAGCCCTAGGGATAGTCATTCTGAAGGTTGGGCTCCTTCCTTAACTTAGAGCCAGGAGCACTGGCCGTCCTGAATCTTCCTGCCTGTGGCTCCCTGCATTCCCCGCCTATAGCCTTGCCCTGGGTCCCTTGGTCACCGCTGCAGTGAGACCAGAGAAAAGCCCTTGTAGTGAGTTACACGCCCTCGGTCCCCAGCTGTTGCAAAGAAGGGAGGTGACAAACTTGTCAGCTTTCTCCTCTGAGTTTTCTCACTGTCCACCCTAAACACACACAGACTCGCACACTCACATGCTTGCACACAGATTTAAACTGAATTTTCTGGAGGATTAAGGAAAGAGGTTGGTGATGGGTTTTACTTGGTTTGCAGAAATGCCTTCTTTGGGATTTTCCTCCCTGTTCGAGCCTTTGAGTCTAGGTGAAAAAAGTGAAAGTTCACATCTGTGTTCATTTTGTTTCTATGGAATTAGCTAATCGTTTTCATCCCTAGGCTCCAGTGTCTTGTCCACACGTCCTGACCCTGTGTCCTTGAATTCCCATTTTGCTTTGAGATTTAAGTTATTGTAATTTGTCAACAATATTTAAGACTAGAAAAGCCCAGAAAGAAACTTACCAGGTTCTTTTCTTTGGCTTTTTTTTTTTTTTTTTTCAAGGTACTGTAAGTTGTTAACTAGGGATGCCAAGCAGGCTTGGTTCAATGGCTAAACCTCTTACCGTATTACAGTGTAATGCTGATTCAGCCTGGTCCCGCCACCAGAGCACACACAGACTTGAATAAAACTGTTACAACAATGACCTCTGGTTTGCCCTGTACTTTGTAAGCTTATCCTTTCC